GCTATGGTTAATTGAAAAATGGTTAATGTATATTAACAGAAAATCTCCTAACTGAAGTTTATTTTAATATCCGATAATTTTTTTGAGACAAGGAGCACTGTATAGCAATAACAGAGTATATGTTGATGAAGTTGCTCCCACTTCACGGGGTGGACGGTTAGTGGTACCTAGTGCCACAGCTGGTACTCTGGCCTTAGGACCATGGCACACCGTCCCCTCTGCTCCAGCCCCACCTGCCAGTCAACCTGCTCTACTGCATGGCTGAGTCCCATCACCTCATTTCTTTGCATCGTATTCTCCTCTGTAAAATAAGATGGAGAGGGACAAGTGATCACCAATGTCCTTCTCAGAACACAGAAGCTTCGGTCCTGATGTGATCAAATATGATAAATAGTTTTGAGTTACTAACTGTATAGAAGAATTAGAAACTAGTACACACAATAGTGTTTTAAGCTTCTGAGATGTGTTCTGCCATACAACTTACTGTAAGGAGCAAAAAATGGCTCCCACCACACTGGATGCTAAAATGTCATGATGGAATGAGTCTGAAGATATGCTTATTGATCTGACTTTGCATTTTGCTTTTTCCTATTAGATATGTGCCTTTGAGAAGTTGCTTTATCTTCAGATCCCTCATGGACAAATGGATTCTAATTTACTTTTAAGATTCTTATGAAAATAAAATGAGATAATGTGACAAAGGGCTTAGCATCATATTTAAGACATAGTGTAGTTGCTTCATGACTGTGAATGAATAAAATGCCCAATGAGTAAAAGAGTGTATCATTATCATTATTGTTCTCCTAGCTTTGTACATGGATGCATACCTGGCCACATTCAATTCTGTCACCTTCTGACAACCTGGAAAGTTTCTGGAGACTCCTTCCATTCAAATAAGAACCCTTTTATAGACTTCATCTCTTTTTCCAACTAAAACTCTCATGAGCAGCTAGTATGTAAAATGTCACTTACTGAAATGTTTGGCCCCCATCAGACTTTGCCTGCTGTCCTACCTGCCATGACAATATGAACCCAGAATTCTCTGAATTTTCATATCCTCATCCCTCAACCGAACGCCTCAAAAATAGCTCTCGGTGCTTTCACAAGGCCCTGAGGCCAATGGAATACACACAGCAAGTGGCTTTCTTCCCATTTTACAGATGAGGGAATGGGGGCAAATTTTAAGCAGAAGGATCTCAGTTATTGGAGGAAGGGGTACCTAAAGACTGCTGAGGCCCATGCGCTTTTCCTTCTGCAGGGGTTCTGCCAAAGTGAGGAGGCATGGGCTGAATGCACGAGAGAAACCTTCATAGGTGACCTGTTCAGAGCTGAACACACAGCCACTGGAACTGTGGTCATCCATAGCACAGCTTAGGGACAGCGCTCTAGAAGCTGAGAGAACTCTGTCACCATACAGGGCTAAGGGGATGAATCGGGTTCAACATTTTCAAAATAATGGTGAGACTGGTTGTTTTTTTTTTGAGTTAGGAATCTACTCAGTTTCTCTGGAGCACCCTTAACGTTTTTATGCCTTCCTCAGTGTAGCTTCTTGTCAGAACACACCATGAAAATCCTCAAGGATGGGGAAACAGAATGATGATTCACCAAATCGTCAAAATATGTTTCCTGGTGGTTGAATTATGGCCATTTTTCTCTACTGTTTGCCCTTCTAAAAGTCCTTGCTCACAATAGACAGGATGTGGCTTCAAAACAGCATTTTTAAAAACTGAAAGAATGCAATTCTAACTGCCTTGTCTATTGGAACTCAATGGGCTGTATTTTACTCCTAATGGAACAGCTGAAGTCTTTTTCTAAATTGGATTTGTTACCATTTATTTAGGTAAGAGTGAAACTGCTGAAATTCTGACCATTTGAGATATGTTTATACATAGGCAGCAGAGAAAATGATGAAGATGAATTTATGGGCGCTTCTGTTTTGAAGCGCAACACACTCTGCCTTCCCTGATCTTGAGCTGGGTTGCACACAGGGCGGAGCTGGAATTGCAGAGTTAAGTTAAAGTCCCATTCCGTCACTGACTTCCTCTGGGATCTTGTTTAAAGGGGCTTAATCTCCATGGAATTGAAGCTCTTAACTTCTAAAATGGGATGATAACTATCATCTTGGGTTCATTATGATGACATTTATAGTGTAACTAGTATAGAACTTAAATGTGATAGGTTAAAGAAAAATACAGTCAACACTTATTAAGTACCAACTAAATACTCTAGGCTGCTGTGTGCGTTACCCAACTCTATGGCTATCACTGACGTTATAATTTTCTAATATTTATAAATTTATTAGGACAGTTTTTTTTTTTCTTTTCTGGCAGAAAAGAAAATGTTTTGAGGATGGTACACCATTTAAAAATTCACACAAAGGCACCATTTAGGATAGCAAAGGCCGGGCCCATGGCCATGACAAAAATTAACATCTAGTGGGAAAAGGCAACATAGAATCTCAAAAAAAATTCTCACTGGTTGATAGTTTTGTTGAGTCTTGAAAGAGCAAGAGTCTGAAGATCATGCAAGATCAAGGAGGGAGAAGAAAGCATTCCTCACAGAATGGAAAGCTTCTGAACCTCACCAGTAGTGATTTTAAAACATGTCCACAAATTCTTTGATATCTCTTCCTTACGAAGTTGAGGAGGCCTGACTTTGTTCTCCATGACTGTGGGCTGATTTGGTGACATGCTTCTAATGAACCTGATGTGATGGGTGTGTGTGACTTAGGATGCTAGATCACAAATGGCTTTGCGGCTTCCTCCTTGTCTTCTCTCTCAGGTCACTCTGTCTAGGGGAAGCCAGATGCCATGTTGTAAGGACTCTTGCCGATACCATGTGAGCCATCTTGGAATTAGATTCTCCAGCCCCAGTCAAGCCTTCAGATGATGCAGCCCTGGCTGACATCTTGCCTGCAGCCTAATGAGATACCCTGAGTCAAACCATCTAGCTCAGCCGCTCCAGGATTCCTGGCCCACAGATTCTGAGAGATAATAAATATTAATTGTTTTAAGTTGCTGAGTTTTGAGGAAATTTGTTATATGCAATAAATCACTAGTGCAGTGGTTAAGAAGTCTCCAGTAGGAACATCCTTTGGTTGGAGCCTGGGGCCTAGAATGGATGACTGAAGGAGACAGAGAAGATGAGGCCTAAAAGGTAAATGCCCGACATTCTTTGTTAAGAAGTTAGGATTGGTCATATCAGCGATATCTTCAAGCTGCAGGATGCTTTTACATAGAGGAGTGACATGATCACAGTTGATTATAATATCTTCGGCATGAAATGGGATGGGTAGAAACTGGCTGAGGGGGAGGAGGACTTTCAGTTAGGAATTCTAAGAAAAACAGATCGGGTAAAAGAAGAGAGTCTGAACTAAGACAATGGCAGTGGGGGTAAATACGAGAGGACTGTCTTAAAATTTGGTGTTTTTCAGAAAGAAACTACCGGTTTCCAGGGCCATCTAAGTGCAATCATGATTCACTTTGCGTTGTGTGGTTTGAGAAAAAAGTGTGCTGAACCTATATGACAACCCTATATTCATACCAACATTATCAACACACACATACACAAGACACATGAGACACTTCCATGCACTAACAGAATGAGCATTTTGCTAAAAGGACTTCACAATTAGGAAATGTCTCACTCTTAGGATTTAGTATTAAGCATTTGAATTCGTCCTTTATAGGAACTCTAGTGTCAAGAACAAAAAGAAATGAGTTCCTTCTTCCATAAAAGGAACCAAAGCCTCACATTTGTCTATTGTACAAATAAGGCCACAGAATATTAGACTGAGTTACAGGGAGATGATTTATAGCACTGTTGGCATAGATTAAATGTGGTTTTTGAAACGTTGGAAGATTCAATAGAATCTATGACTAAATTGTCATACACAGTGATATTAAATTAGCGAAGAAGTGCTCATCTCCCCAACAAACTGGCTTCCTTAGAAAAAAGAATATCTATTTTTGGTACTTCAATAGCCCTAGAGAAATGGATATATAATGCTAAGCCATGAGTATTTTGATGGCCGCATTTCTATCCCAATTGTGAAGGAAGAAAACGTGTGCGTGTGTGTGTGTGTGTGCGCGCGCATTTATTTTCATCCTATTGTCTTGAATGCGTTGTATCATCACTGTTCATAGCTGCATTTCAAACTGTTTCTTCTGGGAAGTAGAGTTCTAGTTGAACTGGAAATTAATCAGAGAACCAGAAAGAATTCAAAACCAGTAGAAAGAATCAAGGAATCAAATTTGATTTTCAGAAGGAAAATGTTTATGAACAGTAATAGCTGGGCATCATATCATTTGTTTCTGAAAATCACTTTTTAAATAATGATTTTTAACATTTACATATTATATGGAACTTTCAAAGAAATGTTAATCTTCAAATAACTTGATTCTTTAAATACTCGTTGAATATTCAAAGTCCTAATAGGAAATAAGACGTTTCCACTAAGAGTAATGATATTTCTCCTAAAAGAAAAGTGAAAATCTCAATTCCTTGATGCAGAGACTGTGTCGTTGGCCACAACAGCCCATACCTACTATGAGGCCACAGTGAATGACCTGTTGAAAGAATAATGAATGAATGAGTGGACAAATGTATGAACACGTGTAAGTTAATGAAATTGGGCTTGTACAAATGAGAACAAGGCTATAGTTTTCCAAGGTATGTCTCCACTGTAAGAACTCATAAATATTTACAACTAAAGAGTCTAGCGGAAGATGTGATAAATTCTAATGTTTAAGAAAAGATAAAAACAGAAGTGTGAACTAAGTAAAGAAAAGGCAGCATATTTTAAGAACCTCGAGGCAACTATTTTAGCAAAAGCACATTGCAATAGCTACACACTGCTGTTCCAACAATTGTGATATGGTTAAAATAACTTAATGAAATAATGTTTCTTCAAGACTATCAAAAATCTGCTTCTGGCTCACCGTCCAAAGTGAAACTTTCATGGAGGGAACAAAGGAAAGTACAAAGAGAAACCACCACCATTAGTGCCTGCACCAGAGCTATTTATTAGTGTAACTTTTTCTTTTTTTCTTCAAGATTTCATAACAACTGAAGTATGTACAAAGTCTTACAGCATTTACACCATAAAAAGTTTCCTGGTAGCTGATGAAGTTTAAGGTGGTGCCCCTGAACTTCAGAGCATGACTACGAGCAATGAAGCAGACCACTGCGTGTGTGTCTCTCTGCTACCACGCCACAACCGTCAGCTGGTTGACAGCTAACTGGAAGACAGGTTATTGGGGAAAAGGGGAATAAATTGATATGTAGCACTAGAGACCATGGGGGAGGGGGAAGCTACATAGTGTCGTGTTTCTACAGTTTCCTAGAGCTGTGACAAAGGTCCGCAGCTCGAGAGAATAACATATGCAAGACAACACAGTCACACTGCTCAGACATGGTTCAGTTACTGAAGGTGTTCACTTCTGAATAGGAGGCTCTATATTGATATGGCTGGTATTTCCATTTGTGTTCATGTCTTCAGATAGCTCGAACCTGCACAAGCCCCACTCTGCTCTCCCAAATACAACAACAACAGAGGGAGGTTTGGAGGGAGGGAAGAGAATCAGCGTGGAATTAGTTCTTGACCCCAAAATCAAACTCCAACATTTTAAGACATCGAGTAACAGCTCTTGGGTGGCCATTCCGGACAAAATATTTAGTAGTAGAAATTTCTGAATCAACCCTCAGAAAAATATCGACAAAACCCCATTCGACCTCCTAGATTTCATCACCTTCATTGTATCTGATTGTCTTTTCTTGGGGTATTACACAGGACCACCACCTTTTACACACTGACTAGGACACAGAAACTAGCACTGTCGCCCCAACCATCACTTTAGTAAGTGGCAAGAGGATTTCAATATGTAACTGATTCGAATCAGGCTCACCACTTTCTTCCTTAGAAACCCAGCGTGCTTCTATCTTAGATCAGTCCCTCTGTTTGGTAGCAGTTCCCATTTATTTTCCCATTATTTCGGTCTCACACGTAGGCAAATTGGCTTTTTATTTCAAAAAGATTCTACTCTTAACTTAAAAGCCAGTCGATAAAACTTTTAATTAAGACACAATAGCGCGGGGTATAAAAACACAAGAACCACATAAATATTGAAGAAGTTGTATACCGTTTTCCTGTAAACAGTTTTGCTTAAGATCAAAGCCCTAATCAGATTCTGGCCTGAAACTTTTGGCAGATGACGTGTGTTCAGCCAGGCTCTGCAGCGATGGTTGACGTGGAAGCCAGGTCAGTCCCCATGTTGACAGGCATGCAACTTGAAAACATTGCACAACAAGCAACACAAAGAGAGTAGAGAAGCTCACAACACTTCAAGGAGACCTCACAACCTTCACAACTGCGGATGCACAGACAGAGACCCACCCCTCCCTCCTTTGCACACACGTTCTCTTACACGTGGGAGACCTTCTGTGACTCTCTAGCTTGTTTGATGCTATATAACCACTTGATGATCCTAGCATTTCTTTCGATCGCAGAAATGCCATATGGCACCCGGTCATTGGCACTGTCATCATTTCTAAGGTCACTGTTACTGTCCTGAGACTGTTCACAGTCCGAGCTGATCATGCTTGCGCTGCGGAAATTGAGGGATATTATGTCAGAATTAGCCCTTGCAAAGTTTTCCATTCCAAGGTTTTCCAGCTCTTCCGGGTCCAGTCCGCAGTAGTTGAAGAACCGCTCCACGTCTGCGTCCACTCGGAAATACCTGTCACTCAAGTCTGACTTTGACCGCTGGAGGGAGGGTCTTCGGCTGACTCCACAAGCAGGTTCCACAGGGTCGGCTTCGGGGGACTTCATGGTGGCGATGGCTGCGACCTTGGGTTTGGGAGGCAGGGGAGGGGCGGAGCTACTGCAGGGGATCGCTTTTAAGGGCTTCACACTGGTCACTTTGCGGATGTCCGAGGAGCTGTGGGAGACGTGCAGGAAGGACTCGGCCGTCTGCTCCAGCAGCCTCCTGCCCACGTGGGAGCCGCTCTCCTGCGGGCTGCCGCGGCCCTGCGTCGGGTAGACCTTCAGGGACTCGGCGAAGGAGTGCCGGTGCAGGTCGGTGGCGTCCGGCCTGTGCTGCGGCCAGTTTCGGGAGCTGTGCTTGTGACCCGAGCCTGTGCTGGAGCCTTCCGAGCTGTTGATGATGTTCTTCAGGATCTCGAGCTTCAGGGTCTCCCTCTGCACGCCGCTCTCGGTCTTGGCGTGCGGCCCGAACACCTTGAGCGTGGGGCTGCCCAGCGCGCGCTTGGCGCCGGGGCACACCGGGGGCTTGGCCAGCACGGCCGGCTTCACGGGCTCCTGCTTGGCGTTGATGACCTCCTGACTCTTGACATACTTGGCCTTATCGGCTTCCAGCCTCTCCACGGCGCTGAGTCTTTTGGGGTTGGGCTCGGCCTGCCTGCGAAAGTAGTCGGGCCCTTTGTTGAGGATGCGCAGGGGCACCGCCGAGGTGAAGGTGCCGGCGGGGCTGACCGGTTTCACCATGCTACCTGTCTGTAGGGTCTCCGTGGGCATGGTGGGTGGTCTCTCCCCGGCGGCCGTGTTGGATTCTCTTCTGGGCGCCTCCGGATGCGCTGAATAGACACATGTACACGAAGCACAAAGGGCAGCGGACGGACCCTGGAACCTGAGTGTCAGCAGCAGCAGCGCCTCATCTCACAGCTCATTAACCGCCACTGTGGCTTTAATTCACTTTCCCCCTTGCAGGCAGCCCGGGTACAAAAAGGCCACAAGCCACAAGTTCCTTTAATCTGCTTCGCCGCCTCCTTTCTTCTCCCCGAAGGATGTGGGAGTCTCCTCCAGGTCTTTGTGTTCAACTGCAGGCAGAGCTGAAACACAGAACAACCAACCGCGGGTTAGGATGGGCGAGTGACATCACGGCTGTAGCAACCGAGAAGCCCCGCGGCGCCCCCGCCTCCGCCCCGCCTGCCG